TTAGACTCCACCTCTACACTATTAATCTTCAAATTGACACCAGATTATGTAACTACCACACTGCCCCATTGGGTTTCCAACGCTGTACATTGTTCCAGAAACAGACTGTCACATCTTTCTCCTTTAAAGTGGTTGGTGGCTTTGAACTGCCAACCTTCTGGTTAACAGCCAGGTGCTTAACCATTGCGCCACGAGGGCTCCTTCACAACCCCATGGTTGTATTTAATCATTATAAGATATTATCAGATCGTTATTCCTATTTGATAGCACAGAAATGTGTACGTATACACCTTTCTTGAAATCATGTAACCAGTAAGTGGTGGAGCCAGGATTGGTAAACATGCTAGTTGAACTTCAAAGCCCTCGCTCTTGACCGCAACACTCAGGGTTGTTGGATGAGAGGAGCCTTCAAGGGTGGGAAAGAGAAGTAAGAGGTGGTGCGAATTTAGAGGATGGGACACAATCTTTCATTGAGCAGGTACTATGTGCTGGGTTGCATAGTGGTTACCTGTTCAGCTGCAACCCACAGCTTTCCATGATTCATAGTGCACCTACAGGACAGCAGAGTGCTGCCACATGAGGGTTCCCAGGCTCGAAACCTTGTTGGAAGCAGACTGCCTTGTCTTTTTTTCTTGGGGCAGCTGGTGGGTTTGAACCACTGACCTTTCAGTTAGCGGGCCAATGATTAATGATAGCACCACGATCGTTCTGCAGATATACATTCATTCTCACAAAACCAAACTCACTGCCATCAAGTCGATGCTGACTCATAGCGACTCTCTCGGCGAGGATACAATTCCCCCTGTGAATTTTCCAAGATTTTCTTTTACGGGAGTAGAAAGGCCCATCTTTCACCCGTGGAGTGCCTGGTGGGTTCAAAATGCCAACTGTGTCCAGCAGCCTAACATGTAACCACTATGCCATCAGGGCTCCTCTTAGATATGCATTACTCAGGGGTTCAAAGAGATAAAGGAATTTCTTCTATGGGGTATAGATTTTAAGCACGATGGGCATTAGTCCCCTTCACACTATCTTTCCAGAAGGCCCTGCCAAAAATTACCCACCAGGCTTTGCTGCTACCCCCAAATGGTAGGCCAGTGGCTTGTGCCCTATTTGGTTTGTGTAGTTTAGGTTTTTTTTCTTTTCAAATTGAGGTATTATTCCTTTAAAATGGAAAGAAAATAAAAGTGAACATTTCTCCCTCATTTTTGGGGTCGAGTTTGGCGTTGAGCCGCTAACCCCCAATCAGCAGTTCAAGTCCTCTAGCCATGTCTCAGGATAAAGATCCTCCCCGTCTTTTCTCTCCGTTGTATTTTTTCCTCTGTCTTTCAATAAAAATGGAATCACTGTATAAATCATGTTTTAATATTTGCTTTTCCCCTTGACACAGCATGAAATTCATTTGCTGCAAGAATGTTTGTCCAGTATTTGTATCATCCTCACATTTGAAATGGAAGAATAAAAAATCAGGAAGGCAAAAAAAAAAAATCAGGAAGGCTTCCCCCATGTTTGACATCCTTTTTAATGGCTGCATGGTAATGTACTGATGGACCCCAAGGCAATCTATCTCCCATTTGTGTGGCCTCCAGCTGTTTTTAGTATGGATGAAGCTGTCGTGGATGTCTGTCCATATACCTTTGTCCCCTTGTGTGACAAATTCTGTCGATGCTACTCTAGGAGAAGCCATTCAGTGGAACCCCAATCCCACTGCCACTGAGTCGAGTCTGATAGAGTGATCCTGAACAGGGACTTCCAAGGCAGTCAGTCTTTATAGGAGCAGACAGCTTCATCTTTCTCCTGACAAGCAGCTGATGGATTTGAACCTCTGACCTTGCCATTAGCAGTCCAGTGCTTACTCGGCAGCACCACCAAATCTTTAGTAACCTCAACTCTGAGGTTGGGCCAATTCCTCGCTGTGGCTTTCTAGTCAACATCTTTGATCTCTCTGCCTCGGTTTCCTCCTTGGCACACTGGGGTTATGATCATGTCTATCCCAAGGGAACCACGAGGACTATAAGGCGGCACATATGATTATGTCTGTGCTCACCACATGATGGCAATTATTCGATGCCATTGGACTCGAGGTAACTTGGGATTTCTTGTTTCTTTGTGACAGTAACACTGTCCCATTCCATGGTCTTGATGCCTAGTCTCCAAGAACTGGGGTGAGCACAGCTGAATGGCCTCACTTTCACTCTGGTGGCAACTCTCCCTTGGGTGGTTTGGGTGGGGTGTCCAAACTGTTAATGTGCTTGGCTGCTAACCAAAGGCTTGGAAGTTCAAATCCACCCAGAAGCGCCTCAGAAGAAAGACCCGATGAGCTACTCCATGATAACTCCAGGAAGCACAGTTTGACTCTGCTGCTCCAAGTCAGAATCAACTCAGCAGCAGTGGGTTTGTTGTTTGCCCTCCTTTGCCTTCATCGTTTCTTGGCTGACCTCCCACTCATTAGATCTTGCCTCCCCTCCCCTTCACCCAGGTTATTAGGGTTTGGGTTTGGGTTTTACTTCAGTGGCAACATTCCCACTTCCTGTGACAGACAGCTGGGTTGGTTCCTGTGCAACTGCCCACCCCCCCACTCCCACCCCATCAGTCAGTGGAATTTGGAGTGTTGCTTCTGAAAATCAGTCAGTGCACACCCTACAGATCATGATGGCCCAGTCCATGACCACTCATGGGAATGACGGAGACCGGGCAGCATGTCCTTCCAGTGTGAATGGGCTGCCATGAGCAGGGCCCGAGGGCAGATAATGCTGCCCGATAAAGTCTTTGTCTCTATTCCACCTCCCAGGAGACAGTCGTTTCAGTGGGTGGGCTTCAGGAAGCAGCAGTGTCAAAACGTAGGCCCTGCTAATTCCCAGGCTGACCCCTGGGCAGCCCCACCCCCACATCACAGCATCTTCCTTATGAAGGTGAAGGTCTGCAAGGCTCTTGTTAAAATGAACAATTCTAGGAAGACGGAACGAGTGACCCCGACCCTCTTAGATCCCAGCCAGGCCTCGGGACTGTGAAGCCGGAGTCTCTGTTCTGAACTTAGAGTGGTGGACAAAGCCAGCTAGGGCTTCCAAGTGGAGCTGTCACCCAGCAACATCAGGGCTCCGAAGCATCTTTGGGGAAGGGAACGATGACGGGACGATGACGCTGTAAGGACCATAGCGGGACATCTTGCTGGTGGAGTAGGCATTGGGCTGACAGCAAGATCACCAGTTTGAACCCACCAGTTCTCCTCTGGAAGACTTCAGAGGTCCCCAAATCTATTTGGTTATCACCCCCTTTTCAGAAAAAAGACAGCGGCCCCCAGCAATAAAAAACATTTGTCCTATAGCCCATAGTCTAGGATACAGTGTAGATAGAGGGTTCTGTAGCCCTGGCCCACCTGGACCCTTTCAACACCTCCTCGGAGGCAGTATCACCCACTTGGGGAAATGAAGATTTACAGCATCAGAAACCCCAGCGGCAGCTCTCCTCTGCTTTCGTGAGTGGCTGTGAGCCAGAATTGACTCGATGGTAGTGGATTTGGTCTGTCCTCCCACCCCTCTCTCCATCAGAAGGATAACTGGAGACCGTCATTTAGTTTCACTCAAGTACTTTATTAAAGGGGTCCTGATGGCGCTGTGGTTAAGCACTCAACTGCAAACCCCAAAGTCAGCTGTTGGAACCCATCAGCCACGCCTCGGCAGAAAGCAGAGGCAGCTCGCTTCTGCAAAGATGTGTAGCCTGAGAAACCCCGTGGGGGGGCGTTCTACTCTGTCCTACAGGTCACTAAGAGAAGCATCTTGATAGCAGTGGGTTGGGATGTACTTTACAGCTACTAAGCGGTCCCCCTCCAACCCCCACCCTCACCTCGTATTTACACTCAATCCCTTTCCCAAAGCTAGCTTCAATCAAGATCCTGGGAAGAAGGCGGGTGGCTGCCCATGAAGCAGGCAGCCCTAGATGCAGTGGGCACTGTGGTCAGCAGGGATACTCTGGGGGCATCGGGGCCAGGCTTGGTACTAGAGTCCAGGAAGCCCCCACCAAGGTACTCACCCTCCTCTTCTGGAGCTCTGAGTACATGAAAACCTTTAGCAAAGTAAAATGGGGTCAATGGACCCCCTTGTGGCAAGCTTCATGCTTTCTGGGATTGTTAAAAGCCACGCAAGTGGCCAAAGTCAAGGCCCAGATCTGCATCTGGGACAGAGGGACCATTCCAATGAACACCTGCCATCAGTCTTGGGGGTGGGCGGAGGGGGCCAGGACTGGGAGGGGAAGGTAGGCAGGCACTGTCCCAGGGCTGAGGATGGTTTTATGGTGTGAGTTGGAGGTGAAGGGGGAGGGGGTCTTTTTATTTGGTAGCTAGAGGGCCCTGTAGCCCCTCAGGAAACCCCACTGGTTCCTGGGCCACTGGTAACAGGAGAGCCGACTTGTGTTGTCACTGCCTGGTTTTGGCAAGGCCCTTAGGGTGGTTCTGTCCCACCTTGGACCCCTCCAAAGCTCAGAGGCTCTGGGCCCGGCTCCCGTTGTGATGTTGTGGCCAGACCTCTAAGAATGTCAAGGAGCGAGGATGGTGGAGGGGCCAGTGGGGGCCGCTGTAAACTTAGTGGGAAATCTGGGCTTAGGATACCTCCGGGCCCTTTGCAGGAGCCACCTTCCCTTGGGTTTGGAGGCTGCCCTGAAATACAGACCTGGTCTCCCTTTCAGAAGCAGTGTGACAGGGGTGAGGAGGGTTTGGGGGTCTTGATGGGGAGGGACATAGGTGTGGTCCCTCATTGGCACATGTGCTATAGCTAAGGAGGGGCTGTGTTGCCATGAGCCACTGGGAGAGGGCTCTGGGCTCTGGGCCAGGTGATGTGCCCTGGGCAGCGCCTCATCCCCTCAGCGAAGCCATGGGGCGGTCAGGCCTCTGCAGCCCCAGTGTCTTAGGAAAGCAGGACCAGGCTTGGGGGCCAGTTGCGGAGACGCGGACCCAGCCTGATGGTGGGGTCCCCGCAGCTCCGGCCTGGCCTCACCTGCCCTGCCACTCCACTTCAAGATTCCTCAGCCAAGTAGAGGCGGTGGAGCTGCTCTTCGGTTGCTGCCAGCTCCGTCTCATCGCGCCCGCTCTCCGAGCCCTCGAAGCAGCCTGAGTCCCGAGGTATGTCCACCTTGGGTTCAGATTCTGTGTGTGCCACCGGCTCCTGGATGTTCTCAGTGCCCTCTTCTGCCTCCTCGCTGCCTGCTGCCAGGGGGCAAGGGAGGAAGGGACGACAGAAACTAGGTAACTTGTACCTCCCCGGGAGCCACTGTGACAGCATTTCCCTTCCGGGTCCCCATTCCTGCCCTTCTCCCTCTCCCCACATCCTTCTGGAAGCCATAGGGTTGTGGCTTCCAGGCCACCTCCCGGCCAGGACTCCTCAAGGTCATTAGGGCTAAGTCAGGAAGTGGGAAGCCGGGGCAGGAAGCTTGCCTGTTATTTCTTGCTCAGCTTTGCTGCCCTGAGAACATGCCTCCCCTTCTGCGGCTCCCTGCCCTCCCAGAGGTGCACATTCAAGGGGGGCCAGGGTCTTCCCACAGCCACAGCACCCCTCAGTCAGCAGGCCCACTCACTGTCGTAGTCCAGCAGCAGCTCAGCCGCAGTGAGCAGCTTGGCCTGGTGCTGCGGGTCCATGATGTTCAGCTCGTTGAGATGCGTCTCCCGCAGCTCCTTGAAGTCCTCCAGGGTCTGGTAACCATTCAGTAGTAGGGTGGACGTGTGCTCCTGCGGGCAGAGGACAGGTTGCCTGCCAGTGGGGCCACTTAGACATTACCCCTGCAGACCCCATGCTCAGCGTTGCTGCCGCACGTGCCCCCCCCCCTGCCCCTGAACACCCCCCTCCAGTCCCACCCCTGGTACCTCCAGGCCAATGCGCTCCAGCAGCTCGTGTAGGGTTTTGGGCTTGGGCCTCTTGCCCTTGCTCTTGCTGCGGCACGGGCGGGCAGGGCTCACACTCTCCTCAGGCAGCACGTCCACATAAATGAACTTGAAAGATCCAAGCCGGCCATTGAGCAGGCCCAGCCACGTGCCCACTGGCGGCTTCTCGATGATCTGAATGATATCTCCTTTCTGTGAGGGAGGACAGAGAGGCTTAAGGGCACCCCTGCTCTGTGGGGGTCTCCTTGTGGGGAGCCACCCGCCAGGCTCAAGAAGCTGCCCTGAGGCCAATCTTACCTGCAGTTTCAATGAGTCGCGGTCATAGGGGCTTGGGGTGAAGTCTGTGTGGACACGTGCCCGGCCACAGAAGGGTCCTGTGTATTGAGGGGCAGGTGCTTCCTCCCTGAAACTGGGGCTGCAGAGCTCGCTGCCTACAGGAGAGGGGCGGGGAGAAGGGAGCCATTAGTCTGTGCGTGAAGGGTGCCTTCCAGGGGTGTGGCTAGGAATTCCAAGGATGTAGACTATGGTAGAAAAGCATGGGCAAATCCAAAGGGCCCCTGGGTCAATGGTCTAATGAGCAGATGAGGAAAACTGAGGCCGACAGGCGAAAGCAAGGCCCTTGGGCGGCATGGTGTCCAGTGGATTCCAGGGCTCTAGATTCCCATTCCAGTATTCTCTCAACCCGGGAAGGTGCATTATTCACACCCAGCATTACTTTCTCTGCTGGAAAAGTCTCAGGGTCGCAATGCCACAAGGAACTCAGATGGGCTCTTTCTCGGTGGGGAGGGGAAGGTGAGGGGCATTGGATGTGGCTTTTAAGTATGCACGAAACGGTCTATGGACCCAAAGAGCCTGGGACTTGGAATGTGACCACAGGCCAGACCTGGAGGGGGGAGACAGGTGGTGGCCCTACAGTACTGCAACCCAGGCGACATCTAGAACGTGCCAATTAACTAACCAAGGTCTGAGGTCCAAGAGGCTGAGTCCTCACCGATGGAGACTCCTGACTCCCAGTCTGGGATGCCTGAGTTTCAGGGAGCAGTATCCTTTAGCGCCCCTGGTGGTTGGGGGATGGGTTGGTCCAAAAGGACAATGAGGCTCTTCTGCCAGTGGCCCCTTCCAGGGTCTGGGGAGGGCAAGTGGAAGCTTCTCAAGGGTAATTAGAGGTCAAGTCTCAGCTCTGCCACCCACCAGCTGCATCATTTAACAAGTCAATTAACCTCCTGGGGCCTCAGTTTTCTCATCAATCAAGTGGGGATCATGATTGTTCATCGCCATGGGGTGGTTATAAAATTTGAATCTGAAGATGACTAGTAAATTTCCCAGGGTACAAAGAGTGAGGTCCCTATTTCTCTCATCCCTCCCACAGGCAGCAAGCCCGTGTGACCCTGACCTAGTCCTTCCCCCAGGCCCAAGTTCACCTGTGGATGTCTGGCGGCTCAGTGCAGGGGTATCTCGCTCCTCCTGCTCAGAAAAGGCCAGCGCCATCTTCTCGGGTCCAGGGCTGTCTAGGCTGCAGTCTGGGGATGTCGGGGAGCCTGAGCTCTCTTCCAGGGGGTCTCCCTAAGGGGGAAGGGGTGGGCAGGATGTGCTGAGCAGTCTAGGCTGGGGGCATACAGGGTAGCCCCCAAGTAAAGAGGCTAGGGGCCCAGACTCCATGGGTCCAGGCTTGTGCCTTATGCCATTCTCTGAGTCCTTTCCTCTTCAGGAGCCCTGGTGGTGTAATGATTATGCACTGGGCTGTTAACCACAAGATCAGCAGTTTGAAACCACCAGCAGCTCCATGGGAGAAAGATGAGGCTTTCCACTCTGGGAAAGAGTTGTCGTCTCAGAAACTCGCAGGGACAGTTCTACTCTGTCCTCCAGGATCTCTGAGTAGGAATTAACTCCATGCCAGGGAGTTTGGGTTGGGGGGTTGGCTTTCTCCTTGTTAGATGGGAATGACGGTGTCTGCCCTGCCTGCCTCATGGAATGAGGCTCAGGTGGGTGCCGCATGAGTTGTGCTGTCAGCTCAAAGTGCAGATATGCACCCCGAAAAGGCCCTGGTGGAGGAACCCAGGCCTGGTGCGAGGGCACGGGCAAGCATGTTGTCATGCGGCAGACGAACTACTTTTGGCTGCGCTCCTCACAGGGTGCACGCCTCTCATGTCATTTGATCCTCTCGGTGACGCTGGAAGGCAAGTGCTGTGAGTGTCTGGACTTGACAGAGAAGGCCACTCAGCAGCACGTGCTACCTCAGGATGCCCCCAACCACCCATCGTGCAGTGGCATGAGGGGAACGCATCCAAACAACTCTCTCCCAAAGTGTGGTGCCTGGGTCTGCCAATTCCGTACTGTAAATACTGCCAACCCTGTCACGCTCCCATTGAGATGTGACTCACAGCAGCACGCCATCAGAGGGTGTTCCCATCACCCAGACCCATCCCCTAAGTCAAGCCCCTGCCACGGAATGGATTCCAATTCACAGAGCCTTTCTCGATGCGAGCTGACAGCCTCCTCTTTCTCCGGAGGGGTGGCTGGTGGGTTTGAAGCCGTGACCTTGTGGTTATGGGTGCCGGCCAGCACTTCCCGGACAGCACCATCACCAAGAACATAGATGATAGGAAATAACGTACAAGAATTGCTGTTGTTAGGTGCCATGGAGTTGGCTTTGAGCCATAGCTACCCTCTGAACAGCTGAAGAAAACACTGCGTGGTCCTGCGCCATCCTCACAATGGTCCTTAGGCCGGAGCCCTTTGTTGCAGCCATCGTGTCAGTCCGTCTCCCGAGGACCTTCCTCTTGGGCGCTGCCCTCCTATCTGCCCAGCATGATGCCCTTCTCCAGGGACTTGGGCTCTTCTGACAACATGTCCAAAGTACGTGAGACGAAGTCCCTCTCCTCGCCTTTAGAGCACTTTGGCTGCACTTCTTCCAAGAGAGATTTGTTCCTTCTTTTGGTACTCCATGGGACTTTCAATATGTTTCACCAGAATTAGGGTGTGATTAATTTTGAGTATTCATTACTTTAAGTTTACAATGAGTTTAATTGTAGGTATGTATAATTTAACCTTTACTAATGGCTGTGTTTAACAACTGGCTCGCAAATTTCCTGAAAATAGGACCCAGGGCCCTCGGTGGCCAGCATAGCGTGGCCTCGGTGTTCTCTAAAGAGCCACAGGCCTCCCCGTGACTTTAAGCTACTTGGGATCTGTTGGCCCAACAGCCGTGTCTGTGCCAGCTTCCTCCTGGCCAGAAGCCAGGCTTGTCTCCTATTTTCTTTCTTTCAGCTCCTCCAACCCAGGAATTTTAGTTCCCAGCAAAACTCTGGTGAATGAATTGGCCTCAGGCAATCCCACCTCCCTTTCAGCTGCCTCATGCTTGCCTTTTCCAGAAGCTTCTATTCCCCAAACTATCGTCCCTTCTCAGAAGCCACCTTTTCCAGCCAGAGGCGTGCTCCCTGCTTCCCTGTCCCACTCTCAAGTGACCTCCCTTCTTCTAGCTGTTCTCACATCCAGCCAGAATGGTCTCCCAAGCCTGCCCCCCGCCCAGGCCTCACCATCTCCTCCGACAGGGCCTTCACCATCATCTTGCCAGTTTTCCTGTTCATGGTTCTTGAAATCACTGCCCTCCACTTCTTCCCCAGCTTTTTGCTACTCTTCCCAGCATCTTCTGGGGTAGGGACACCTGAGACATCTTCTGGAATCTGTGGAAACAAAGGGGAAGATCCAGGGACCCTGGTAGGCCTGCCTGGGTCGATTTGGAGACAGAAGGAGGCCCCATCTCCTTAAGCCCTTAGCCACTAGTCTTGTCTGCATTGGTGAAGAGTTTGTACACATTGGCAGTTGGGGCCCACCCAGTGGCTTCTCCATAGGAAAAAGACTTCGTGATTCTAAAACTAATCACCCACTGCCACCGAGTTGATGCCGATGCATAGGGACCTTATAGGGCAGAGTAGAGCTGCCCTTTGTGAATTTCTGAGATGGTAAACCTTTTATGGGAGTAGAAAGCCCTGTCTTTCTCCCAAGGATCACCTGGTGATTTCAAACTGCTGACTTTAAGGATAGCAGCCCAACTCGTAACTGCTATTCCACCAAGGCTCCTATGTCATGCTTACAGGCCAGGAAACCCGAGGGAACAGCTCCACTCTATCACAGGGGGTCACTGGGACTCAGAATCACCTGGACAGCCAGAGCCAGGCAACATAACGGCAACAAATCCTG